CACAAAGACTTTGCACCCTCTCAACTCTAATTAGTGATGACTCTTCTCACATTCACTTTCACTTTCAGAATGCTCTCGACATGCAGACATACCCCCCTTCCCTCTCTCCTACCGACCCTGTCCCTCCAAAACAGGTTGTACCCATTCATGCGAGATGTCCAGCCAGGTTTCTAAAACTCCCACAAAGTCAAAGTCCACCTTGAGTAACAGAAGTTCTAGATCCTCCAATGTGTTTGTTGGACTTCTAGCATTTGTGTACACACCTCTTCATTTAGTGCTTGTGTTTTGTATTTTATTGTTGCACATTCCTGAACTGCAACTAATTTCCTTTAGACTTCTGTATTGGACATTGGTAATGTTATTTACCTACTGACTGGTTTGAGCCCTTTTTCGCCCTTTATTTCACCCCCCTCTATATTAAGGGCCCCCATTGACCCTTTCTCTCTATATGTTATACTGTATGTTTCCAGTGGTGGAAATACCGCCATAGCAACCCACGCGGCCACTAGGGGGGGCCTGTTGAGGATGAGTATGTTGAACAAATAGTTCTTCTGCCATCTTCCATTCCATCACTTGTATTGCAGTGTAGCTGACGATGCTTGACCCCCTCCCCTCCTTCCGGTCAGTGAGAGCTGGATAGAGCTCAGCTGTTCCTGATCTCAGCCCTTTTTTGGAAGTCATGATGGATGGCAGGTGTTCATGAACGCTTCCCAATTCTTCTTCACTTATGCACACAAAATACTGAGGTAATCCGGGCTGATCCACAGGCTGAGCGCTCTCCATCACATCGGGCAGCTGCAAGAAGTTATGTGACCTGACCTGGAGGAGGGTGATTAGTGTTGCAGTTATAAGGCAGTTCAGTGTCCGCTGAGTGTATATTGCTTGTACACAATGCATGTGTTCACTAAAATGTGGGGGGGGGGGGGGGGATTGAAGTCCAAATCGTTACATCTCCAGCCTACAGTAATTAGGCCCGGTTTACATCTGAACAATCCGGGATCACGCAGCAATCCGCGCAGTTTCTTGCAAAATCCTGGAATCGCACACAAACGCAAACCATGCTTGCAGTGCCGTTCATTTCAAATTGAACCTCAATCACAGCTAGCAATCTGCGTGGTTGCGTACCACAGTGCAAACATGCACAATCGTGGCCGCCTAAAAGTGAGGGTCGCTCATGGCACAAAAAGGTGCCACGCAGATATGATTCCATTGAAATCAACGGGGCTGCGCCCCAACCGCAGCACGCGACGGCGGGCGGTTCCGGGCCGCAAGATGTGAATCAGGCCTCAATGGCAATCTGCCACTAATTACTTTCTGCTGGAGAGGGGAAAGGATGAGGGCTGATTTGTGCACAATGCATACCTTAATCTTAGGAGATGGGGCATAATACACTGCTGCCACCAATGAAGCTGGGGAATGGGGGTGTTAAATTACACATGTAATTATACACCTTTCCCCAGTTCCTTGGTGGCAATGTTAAAGTAGAGTGAAAGGCTATAAAATAACCGACCTTTTAATCATTGCCTCCCCACAGCTCTTTGCTGCATACAGTGTCTAATAAATCTCACTGAAAATACTTATATTCCTGCATCGTGACCCTCCTACCTGTCAGCACAGCTTGTAGGCAGTAACTCTTTCAGGACCAACAATGCCTGATTGCTGTGAACTCCGGTAAGATGATATTACTGCTCTAAGGATTCCGCTTGAAAAAAGATTCAAAAATAGTATTTCCATTTGAGATTTATTAGAAACTGTATGTAGCAAATATAAGCGGTGTGGGGTGGCAACATTAGTGGGAGGTGTTCAAATGCATTTTTTTTTGGGGGGGGGGGGGTTGGGCCCCTTAAAACAGTTGCTATGGGGCCCTGTAGTTTCTAGTTACGCCCCTGTTTGTTTCTGTACCCTACCCCCATATTAAAGTGTGTACCATGACAGCAATGTGTTCACAATCCCTCCAAACAACCTATTCACCTGATCTGCATTGTGTCAAAACCAAGCCTTTGGTAAATAGCATACTGTTGGATACTGTTGGATACTGTTGGACTATCATGGTCCTGGTGACATATTGCCCTGTCTGTCTTTTTGATAACAGAGTCCCCTACCAATAGTATCTGGTGCTACCTCTTTGACGGGGTTAGATGAGCAAAAGTTACTGAATGAAACTGCAAATATTCAGGCAGTTAAAAAACAGTTTACATACTATATACGTTTTTCAACTGGGTTTAGCTGTTTGGCTATAGTTCAACTTTAACTGTAGGTATGTTACATACAAAATAATTTTGTGTTCAAATCAAACTTTAACCTCTTGTAATGTTGAAGGGTATCTGCAGCTGAAAAAAAATGTTTTTTAGTTTTAGATCTAAACTAGATTGATTTATTAATTCAATAAGGAAAATCCATTGTGTTGAGTTGTAAAAAACACCCCCTTCTGATTGATGATGTGATGTCTACCCCCTGTCCTGAGGATACAACAAAAAATGATAAGAAATGTCTTTAACCCCTTCATGACTGAGCTAGTTTTCAGGTTCTGTTCATAAATGACTGACACATTTTTTACATTTTTGCTGTGTGGTTCTTCCACGTCAGTAATATACTTTCTTACTAAATGTACCCACACATATTATATATTGTTTTTTAGAGGACAGATAGGGCTATATAATTATATCACATATGTGTACCTAACCCCTCACTTAGTTAGTTCCCTTTTAAAGACGTAATCACAATTATGTAATTTCTCACTTTCTGTTCCGGTGACAGTTGTAACATTTTGAATTCCCATCGTTTTCTGTCTCAGTGACTATCATTACCAGAACAAATGGGGAGGGTGTACGTCCCCAGCTGGGGATATATCCAGAAATAAAAAATTGACACAGGTTCTAATTCCTTACTCTATCCAAAATTAAAAACAGGCTTTGGCTGGAGGTGCACTTTATAATATGCAAACAGATGTCTAACACAAAACTCATGTTTTGCAATGGTAGTCTGTCATCGTAATTTCCTTCAGTTAAGGTTTGGCTTTGGCCAATGATTCACAGCTTAAATAAATATGATTTACTTGTGTAGACATTTCAGAGTCACAAGAGCATAAACAATAGTTCGTTGTAGGAGTAGTACTGTCAGTTCAGATGTGAAATGCAATGTGAATGGAAGTCATTCCAATATGCTTCCAGGTATAGAACTGCCTTTTACCTTTTTGATATTGCTTGTTTTTATAAAGTTCTTTGAGTTGCTTCAAAATGTAACTATAAAAGAGAAACTGGTAAATTACAGACATACTAATAGATTGTAATCAGTTTTCTTTGTCTAGCAGTGTTTGATGAAGGGCATGACCTTGCATTAAAAAAAATGTATACGGTACCTCAGTTCAGTGTAACAAGTCCTACAAAACAGGGCTTTTATAGAGAGGAAACACTGAAAAAATGTCAACTTGAATCATGGGTTGAGATGGGATTCTGAAAAAGCTGCTGGACAAGAAAGCCATTGCTTTATGTAGCAAATACCTGTAAATGTAGACAGTTAAACACCGAATTATTTACATTGGATAAAAAATAATGTTGTGATGTCCTGTTTGATTAAATCAGACAATAAAGGAAAGCTTTTGAGTGTGGTCTTTGGTACATGTTTGTGGAGCTTCACACACTATCTATGGTGTGTACACTGTGCAAAATAGCATTCTGTGTTTAGTGTGCTGTGGACAGCTTGTGTTGTGAATGTGCTATCTGATGTGTGATCTGTGCTCACTGGGTGTTTTGTACTTTGTATGCTTGGTGTATAGTTTGTGATGTGTATATGTATGTGCTTTTTTGGTGTGTTTATACTCTATACTCTCTGTGTTGCATGTGCTCTATGGTGTTTTGTGTCTGTGTGTGCTTGTATACAGTAGTGTTTATTGAATGTGCTCTGTAATTTATGAATTTGCTCTTCACTGTGTGCTATGCTACGCTTGGTATGTGTGCTCACTACATTTTGTGTACTCTGTATTGTGCTTATATACTGAGCTTTGTGTTTGCTTGCTCTGTGTTTTGTGTTCTTGGTGATGTGTGTATCGTGCTTGTGTACTAAGCATTATGTGTGTTCTCTGTGCACATCCTCTTCTGTATATGATCTGCACTGTGTATGTACTTTGAGCTGTTTGCATTTTGTATGGTGCTGTTCATGTTGTGGGCTGTATATGGTGTGCTCTGTGGGTCCTTTCTGTGCTGTGTGTATGTGTTGTATATACATCTTCTGCACTGTGTATGGCCTATGTGTTTTGTGCTGTGTATGCTGTAATTGTGTGTGTGTGGCCTGTGCTGTATATAATTTGCATGTTCTTCGCTGTATATAATTTGCATGTTCTGTGCTGAGCATGCACTGTGGGTTTTGTCCTGTGTACCTTCACTTTATATGGTTTGTGCTTTGTATATGATTTGCACACTGTGTGTTGTGAATTTTCTGTTCTGTGTGTGTAATTTCTACTCTCTGTTAAATGCTGAATATGTACTCTGTTATCCATGTGCTTTCTGCGGTTTGTGTGTTCTGTCTATGTGCACTATGTGTGTGTCTTACATTGGGTGTTGTGTACGTATAAGCATATGCTCTGTTGTGTGTGTTTGTGTGCTTTGTGTCAAAAAGAAAGCACCGAATACCACTGGCGTCCCCTTAAAACTTTATTCCAATTTGACAGCTGACAGAATCCTGTCCCTGCTCAATGACTGCCTGACGACCAACCTCTGACACTTTTCACCTGGGGTATTTGTAGAGATGTGGTCCATCTTTTGTGGGTTCCTTATATTTACCTACATTTGTATTCATCACAGGTGGAACCTCTTGGGATAACTGCTCTATTGGAATGGAGGTTCCACCTGTGATGAATATAAATCTTCTGGCCATCTTGGTAATTCGAGGCTTTTACTTTCTTATGTTAGAGATTTCAGCGAGAATGACAGTGAGCAGCACAGTAGTGACATCATCAAATCTCACTCCAAATCTAACTTTTCCTTTTTTTTTGTACTTTGTAGGTGGACAAATAAAAGTGAAGGAATTGAATTGGCTTAAGAACCAACTTTGTACAGGTAATAATATTCAAAAAACATCAAACCTAGATCTTATTGTTTAAAATTTCTGTTGCCTAGGCTAAGTAAATTGTTCATCCAAAGTGATTTTCGGTAAATGCTGCTGTTAGGGGCCCTGTCACTAGCTTAAAAATTGGGGGTAACAGTACAGAATAAAAGTTAAAATGCTTACTTGCAATGTTTTTGCTTTCTATAAATGATTTTTGTTTTATTCATTTGCAATGTGCCTTTGCACTCGCTGGACATTTTGACTCCAGAAAAAGTAAATTCCCTAGCACAGTCCCCTTCCTCCTTGCACATCATAGCCCTCTCCTCTTCTGGGAGAGTCTATTTTCTCCGCTTCTCCCTTTAGCTCCCTAAATAACCTTCCTTGTAGCAGCCAGGGGAGGAGCAAATACTACAGAGATTCACTTAATTGACAGCTCTGAGTCTCCTGGGGCTTTGACATGACATCAAAGATGGTGGTACCCAGCAGAAGTCTCAGGCTTTTTGGATGTCTCTACAAGGGATCTTTTACAGGAAAATAACATGCTTAAAATACATTAAAAGCAAATATAGTCATGTCAGAATGTTTTACTGCTAAAATAAACAGTTTTTCTATTCATGCAAACAAGCAAGGATCTATAATTAAGGAGATTCCCAACTTATTTCCACAAATCAAAAATAATAAAATGTAAATAATATAGATAACACAAGTAATGTGAAAAATACAATCACAGTATATTATTTCAAAATATCAATGTAACAAAACTGAGTAACTTCTTGAATACAATTGGTAACTTATCAGTAGCTCACAGAATGTGAAAACAAAAATGTTCAGATTTGACACTTGATTTCTCTCAGCCAACAGATGTTCTCAAACTCAAATTTATGTGTTACACCATGCACAGGACTGGCTATAAGCCAAGAATGTATTTAAGGCAAAGTCAAACTTCCACTAAATTATTTTTAAGTATACATCATAACTAAACCATTGACTATAAACTGAAATCAGCTTCCAGGAGATTATACATATTTGTGTATTTCTCCCCAAGATTGAAAGATATAATGTATACTGCAGTTTAAAATTATCTCAATTCAATCTAGATGCTATGAGGACTAAATGGTCTAGTCAGATATATATGTGGCTAGTCAATTGCCTACAGAAAAATAGAAATGTATACTTTACCAAAGATTGCCAAATCTTTTGTCTGAGAGATGTCACCTTTGTCTTAGTTCAGAAACCAGAGATGGCTAGGTTCTCTTTAGTTCAGCTCCCTTGGTCAGCCGTCATCAGCTTCTGACCTATACCCTTAGTATGTACTTCCTTTCTGCTTTTTCTTTTGGATCTCCGTTTTCTTTTTTTCCTGCTCCAAACTTTTATCCCCAAAGAATGTGGACGTGGATTTGTCTTCCACGTAATTAATGATATCAGATGGGGCATCATTTTACTATTGGACTGTATAAAAGTTGGCATTTTTTAATTAAATTCTACTATTTTCATAAGAGATAACCTCTGACCTAAGCCTTGGACAAAACCATAAATATAATAGGGTGGTCTGTTCTACGGCAGTATCTGCCCGACTTGCTGTCTCCTAATAGATATACAGCTTTCAGAAATCTAAACCACGGCAATTAACATTAACATTTTTCCTCCAAATACCTGTGGTTCTCCACATATAGTTTCACTGATAAAAAAAATTCTGTATGTCCACTTAATTCTATGTACTTAAAATATAAACCCACCGTATTAATAATACATACTAATATATTTCAATGGGTAAACTCAAGCTATATATAATGAATATAGGTTGGATATTATAAAAGTACATATATTTAAAAGAAAATACTTGAAATTATTCAATTAAGTAGGCATATAGATGCTTCATATAATATAATAATACAATATAAATTATTGCTAATATCATCTCTAGCAACTAATAGTACTTATTCATAAGGCAACTTCTAAATGATTCCCTTTTTCCAGTAACGAGAGAAAAAAAAAACATTCCAGTTTCTTTAAATTGAGACATGACGGTCATCAGTCTCATTATAACACAGCCTGGCACCATGGCCAGTCCTTATCTTGTGCTTGTTGTCTAGGACCCCACAATTTACGACCTGGGAAGGTATGTGTTAAGATTCTTAACATTTTCTGTGAGAATCTTCAACCAGGAATAATGAACTTGCATTCACCTCATGACAGACAGACAAAGATGGCTTCCGTGATGCCCATATAAAAATATGTAAAATAATATGTATAGGCCTTTTAATTTGATTCCTTTTAGCCCCAATAGTTCTGACAGCCATATGGTCAAAGTCTGGTAAAAGGGTCTCCACAAGGGTTGATAATTGTCTACCTCAGGAGTTGATATTGACAGGGTGCTCTCTTTAGTAGTTTGGAAAAGAGCATGTGAGGGAGTGAGATTTTACCACTGGATTGAAGTGGTTGCCGTATGAGAAATACAAATCTTTTGTTGTTGTTGGGGAACCAAGAAACCAGACAGAAACGTAAAGTGCAGGTTTAAATATAAATAAAAGGAGAATGAAAACAACAATAGACATAAATGGCAAAAAACAATAGAAAAATTCCAGGATGCCGTCAGTGCCAAGCCAGATGTCAGATGCCAAAGCAGGTAGTCAGCTAAACCAGGTCCGGGAACGCTGAGAGCAGGATAAACGGAAACAATAGTCAGAGTCAGGAACCAGGAGATCAGTCAGAGCCTGGGTCATACACGGAGAACAGGAACAGCAGAGCGCTTAGTATATCTTAACATACGCAAGAGTGGAGACTGAATAGACAAGCTGAAGGTTAAATAGTGAACTGGTGTTTGCATCATCACTCTGCGACAAAAATTGGCTAGGAGTTTAGTTAGTAGTTGCGGAATGATGATGTTTGCGGGTTTGGTCATAAGAGGGCACCAAAGAGGAACAACAGTGCCAAACATACTGCGAAGCCATCCATACTGTAACCAAGCTGACTGGAGGAGTAGGAGTATGAAACCCTGACAGTACTTTCCCTTCAACAGCCCCTCCCCCACAGAAGAACAAAAGGCTTATAGGGAAAGCAAGCATGGAAGGCACAGAGGAGGGCAGGGGTAGGAACATCAGAGGAAGGACCGTAGCCTTTCCAGTGGACCAGGTACTGGATTTGACCCCTGGCCTGATGAGAGTCGAGGATGCTACGTATTTCATACTCCTCATGATTGCCGACAGGAATGGGGTGAGGAGGAGTGGTGCTGTGTGACGATTACACACTAGTGGCTTCAAGAGCGACACATGGAAGACATTGTAGATAAACATGCTAGAAGGGAGGTCAAGTGTGTAAGCAGCCGGGTTAACCCTCTGGAGAATACAGAAAACCCCAATAAAACGGGGTGCCAATTTTGGAGTAGGTACTCCGGGGTTAAGGGCCAACAACCATACCCTCTCCCCGACCTGGTAGAATTGAGCAGGTAGATACCTATGATCTGCCTGAAGCTTTTGGCGCTGCATAGAGGCATGAAGGGAATCTGAATCTGCACCCAGGAGGAACGGAGCGCCTTTCCGAGCTGATCCACCAAAGCCGGAATGTCCTGAGGCGTAAAAGATTCAGGTAACACAGATGGCTGAAAACCGTAGTTAGCCATGAACGAGGCCATTTGGGAGGACGAGTTAATAGCAGTATTCCTAGCAAACTCTGCCCAGGGTGGCAGATCAGCCCAATTGTCATTATGGCCCAAGACATAGCAGTGGTGGAATTGCTCCAGGGCTTGGTTGGACCCCTCACCGATGCCATTGGACTACACATGATAGGCCTAGGAGAAGAAGAGACAAATTCTCAACTGAGTGCAAAAGGCCTGCCAGAATCTAGAGATAGTCTCGGATCAGGGTACCAAGTTTATCTCTTTAGGTATACTGTGTAAGCGGAAGACCTCTCTGGCAAACACCAAGGCAAGCCCCTGAGCCATGGGCAACTTCCTAAATGGTATGCAATGGCACATTTTGGAAAAATTATCGACAACCATGAGGATAACATTGTAACCACGAGACACAGGAAGGTCAAGGATAAGGTCTTTGGCTAGGTGGGACCAAGTATTGTCCCCATTGGGAATAGGTTGTAGTAGGCCCACAGGAAGGTGCCGGGGGGATTTGCTTTGGGCACAAATGAAACATGCGGCCATGTCAGTGTGGAGAGATGGCCACCAGAATTGGCAAGCAATAGCCCAAGTAATCTGATTCTTACAAAGATGACTGGCAGTCTTGGAGTTATGGTAAGTTTGCAAAAATTTAATGCGTAAAATTCTCAGGTAAAAAACACTTATCACATGGTTTCTCAGGTGGAGCCAAAGGTTGTAGGGCCAGAATTGATGTGGCAGAAGAGTACCAGCATGCATTTTATCAAAGACATCCTGGCACTTCAGATATTTGGTAGGCAAAGTGAAGATCGAATATGTACAAAGGTGCTTAACTGGCCTATAGATGTACATAGTATTACATTGTGGAGACCAAGAGAGGATCTCGGCCATCTGCCAGTTGAAGGTTGGGTTATGTTTCTGTAGCCACAGGTAACCCAAAACAATAGGCTAGTGTGGAGAGGAAATAACCTGGAAACATACCGACTCCCTTGTAAGGCCCCTACAGCCAGATGAACTTGAATGGTCTGTGGGTAATATGTGCAGACTTTAGGGGTCTGCCATCAATGGCCAGTGAAGAGCAAAAAAAAGAGAGATAGATGGGGCTTTTAAGGTGTCAAAAAATGCAATTAGGGATAATACAACATAGTAATGACAAAATTACATAGTAAATAACATTTATTTATTAAAAGATTCCATGATCCACATGATAAAAATATACCCGCTAGTATCCATGATCAAACAGCATAAAACCTCCCTGGACTCTGTACATGTGCATGGTACATGCATAATAAATACACTGAACTTATTTTATCAATTACATTATAATAAATAATTTTATATAAATAGTCATAAACAAAGTAAGATATACTGCAAGTCTGTACTGCGTCCAGCCTTCTATGCATT